GACCACAGTCCGCAGGAACGGCTCACCACACCTTATTCCACTTAAAGCCAAAAATAGAGGTCAGAGGTGAACTCTGGACCACCCCACAAAGCAGTGACACCCTGATGACATTTTACACCCACCCCTTTCTTAGAGAACCCATGAGAATATACCACAACTCTCTGACCTACCTTATCATTTCCACCCTGAGAATCATTAAAAGTGGCATTTTGTTTTCTCTCCTTTAAGAAAACTCTCATTTCACATAGTCTCACACCTCAAGTGGGCAACCACCTGGGTAGGATCAATAGCAGACCCTTAACCTAACTTTCTGTCAGTTACAGCAAGGGTTCAACACACATGCAAAACCTAAACAGTGGCAAATCACCAAAGGCTTGTTCTTGAGATTCTAATGCCTTTTCTCTCCTTTTTTTTTTTAAACAACAGGATTAAAGGACAAAGTTCAACAATAAAAGTACCTGATCATGTCATGATCTGAATTCAAAATCCTAGATAAATTCAAACTAGATGATTCAAAGGAAATCTGGATCCAGATGTAGGTTGCAATTTTTAAATCTTAGAATCCAAAGGGAGAAGAGATCCAACAAGCACCAATTCTCTGTTTTGTAAAGGCAAACCACCCCTCAGACCAACTTCCGAACCTTCCACTTCTTGGTCCACATCAGGGTGCCGAGAGTAGTGTGTGTGTGGGGGGGGTGCCAGTCCATCAGCATGCCTTCCTGCTGAGGCCAGCCAGCCGGCAGGTGGATTTTGGCTCTCACACACACAGAGCCAGTGCTTCAGACCCCTATTTCTCAATGAACTGAAGCAGTAGAGGAAATGGCACCCACTGTTGGAGGCTTACCGACTTCTCTCCAGCTGCGGAGCACAGCATACTGCAGTCAGGGGAGATGGAGCAGCAATAAACCCACTGGAGGTGACCTGATAACACCTGAATCTGTTTACCTGGCAAAGAAGAGAAACAAACAGTAAGCCACCCCGCAGAACAACGGAAAAGGGAGGCAGAAGTACCAGTAGTAATGGCCCAGCACCCAATACATCATCCAGTTCTCTCAAGACTGGGCCCAAAGGCTTTGCTGAGAAGGAACTATGTCCAACTTTCATTTAAACATGTAAACAGAAAAGAAGAAAAATAAAACAGCTGCAATCTATTAATATGATATTCTAATGGCCAAGGGAATTCATGGCACCACATAAATCTAGGGAAAAGGGTGAACATAGATCTAACACCTTTTCATAGCAGAAATCCTTCTCTTCAGGTTCCCAACCACCTCAAGTGCTCTGAAGCCTCCTTCCCAACTGACAGTGCTTATCTTCAACTCTCTGTTTAACCTCCATAATGGCTTCCCTCTGGTCCTACGTTGTCTGCTGGAGAAGGGGCGAGGTGTGGAGTAATTACAGGCATAAGCTCTGGAGTCAGATGACTCGGGTTTCAATGCCACCCGGCTCCGCTGCGTACTCAGTTCAGAAGTCCAGTGACTCACGCAATCTCTCCAGGTCTTGGCTTTTGGAAAAAACCTAATGCCCAGGCATAGGGGAGTGGGTGAATTAATGGGGGTATATCTAGTCTGTTAATGTGGATGAAATTAGAGAGACAGACTTTTCTATGGGGCAATGTTTAATGAAAAAAAGCAAGATGCATAGAAATGGAAGGCAGAAATTAACAGTAGGGAAATGTAACAGGGGTCTGTTCACCTTCTGAATATAGCCCTTACTGCTCTAAGGTTTAGTCTTTAAAAATTTTTTTTTTTTTCTCTTTTCTCCCCTCTCCCCCTCCCTAACAAGTTTAGGAGACAGTGTTCTCTTTTCTTCCCCATGTTAACTGCCCTGGGACACACCACTACAGGAAGGGGATGCCAACATGTCATCAGGGGGCCTGGGACCCCTACCAAAGCATACCTGGAATGTAACCCTTGAAGAGTTTCTTTAAAACCCCCCTGTCCCTTGTGATTGAGAATCACAGCCTTTAGGAAAGAAGTCCCCTGGTGTTTCTTCTTTACTACCAAAGCAATAAACCTTCTTTTTCCTTTTTCTCAAAAACAAAACAAAAAGCACGATGCAGAAAAAATGGGAAGCATATGATCCATTTTTGTGAAACAATGGTCTCCAACACCCATGGATGTAAGTCATGTATGCAGGATTATGTAAGTATAGAAAAAAATTACAGACAGCTATGTAAGTAGGTTCTTAACGTGGGTTACCAGATTGCAAAGGAAGAGAGGAGGACACACAAGAGGGAAGACAGGAGAAAATGGGAAGGAGAAAGCCAAGCAAAGGAAAAAATACAAGAATTTTTATAAACCCATATGTGGTCATACTTAGGAATTTATGAAGTTTTTATGCACATGCAGATATGTACAAGTTAATACTTTTAGAGTGGGTTATGGCCTCTTCAGCCGCCACATCCAAGTGCTGAGAACAGAAGGCATTAAGGGATCACGTCAGCAGGGCAGATCCCTGGAGCCCCACCTCAACGCCCCCTTTCTCAGGAAGCCCTAGTCGTGGCCTGCACTGCTCTCAGTCATGCTTACCTAGCCCTTCCTTCTCTCCAAGCCAGCATAGGATTCCCCAAGTCACTCTCTAGTCCCTCCTGGGACAGCAAGCTGCCAGGGTAAAGCCCTGCTGTGTTGTATGTTTCAGTAGGGCAACACCACTCCAAGGGGGCTAGTGGGAGCCTGAAACCTGTTGTTTTTTTTTAAACATACCAAGCAGAGACATGCTTTTAATATATCAATGTTCCGTCAGCCCTCTGTGCCCCCCACACTTATAGATTTAACTATCATGGGTGGAAAATATTTTTAGCTGTGTCTGTACTGAATACGTACAGATCATTTTTCCTGTCATTAGAGTGAAGCCACCATTTCCCTTACTGTATTAGGCATTCTAAGTCACCTAGACACAGTTTCAAGCACAGTATGTTGGTTATATGAAATACTATGCTATTTCATATCAGAGACTTGAACAACCACAGTTTTGGGTATCCACAGGGGTCCTGAAACTTGTTCCTTTGATAACTGAGGGATGACTGCACTGTATTTCTTTGGTTTAGGACATCTTTGGGACAAGAAGGGTAATTAGGAAGAGAATGTGAGGTTGAGAAAGGAGTAGATACATTATTTCTGGAGCCTTCAAGTTAGTTTAACCACCTCCCTACCATGTTTATTCAGGTCCCAGATGCGAAGAGTCTTGTCCCGTGATGCAGAGACCAAAATCAAACTGCCACTGGGTGTGAAGCTCAGATCTCTCACAACGTCTTGGTGGCCAGAAAGATTCAAAAGCAGAAGCCCTAAAAGGGGAGCAGAGGACTCAGTCAGCAGAGAGGGGGCACCCAGACTGCCCATCACTCTATACCCCAGGACAACTGGGGACCTGACAGGAATGAGTCATGAACATGCCTCTTGAACATAAATATGCCTGAACACCTTGTGCCAGCCAGAAAAGACCTACCTGTCTGCACCTCCCAAATCTTGATCTGTCCATCATTAAGCCCTGTGGCAAGGATCAGGCAAGAGATGTCTGGCACTTGGGGGTGGTGGCGTGCCCAGAGCTTCCTGCTGGGTGGAGAAGGCCACGGGCTGAAGGCCAAACCCCAAACAATCTGACCACAGTCCAGAGTCTTCTCCTTTGGGCTCCCTCGTCCTTTTGTATCATTTTTGCTGCTTCGGCTTTTGGCTTCGAAACCTTTAGGGATGCTGGAGAAAGCAAAGATTGGAGTCTAAAATTGTTACCAAGTCAATCAACTTGTCATCCTGGGACAGTAACACTCGATTAAAGTCCTAGAAAGAAATGTTGTCTTTTAGTAAATTCCAGTGTGACTTTGTGTCATTTTGGAACTCATGTAACAGAAGCTCCACTGGCCTTGTCTCAGTCCACTGGCAACAGCCCTGCAATGGGGTGACCTGCCGTATGGGATAACTAGATCACAGATGCTCCTGGGAGCTGCACACTTGCTCAGAAAGTTCTCCTGGGTTTTGGTGCGTGGAAAGAAACATGTACTCCATTTTTCCCATGAGAGAGCATACTTATACCATAGGTCTGGAACCAGGACAGACAGAATTAGAGCCTGAACACCAGCCAAGATGTCCCCTTCTATTATCTCAGAAGTCCTCAAAGAGCTGGGAAATAAACCTGTCTAGCCAACAGTTTGTTTAGCAGATGTTGATTTCCACCTTCACCAGTAATAAGGCTCTTCCTTATTTCCACATTCACCAATCAATAATAAAGTTCTTCCAGGTACTTCCTGGTGGGACATCCAGGACAAGAAGCAACCAGAAGAGTAGTCAACAAACAGAAAGAACCACTGCTTACAGGGATACCTCCAGAAGATTTCCTGGCCCGAGCCCCTCCTTTACATTCCTCTCCCTTTTATATCCTCACTCTGTTCCAGGTAACTGAAGCTCACTCCCTGAGTCACTGGGCCCTGCCCACCTCTACGCCCAGAAGACAAAGTCTCAAAGTAGACAGGTCTGGGATTTGGCCTGAGAACAGTTTACTATTTGCAACACACCTTTAGTAAATCCTGCTTTTCTGAGTGACCATGACCACACTCGTGTCCAGCCACTGGGGGAGATGGAGAGAATGCCAGGCCCAGCGCAATCTGACATACTTCAGCGAGGAATCCTACACTCACAGTATCTATGCCCGGACCCCTATTCCACACTTTCCCAGAAGTTCTGAGCAAATCACACTTCTGTCAACTGTATGTTAAAATCAGAAATTTTACCAAGCTCACCTGGAAAATAAGAAGGAAGGAGCCGAGGCAAGTGTGGGCTAAATCAGAGGCTGGCAAACTGTGCCAGGGCCAGCAGTCTGTTTTTGTTTTAACTCTTTCAACAATCCCTTAAGTTCTCAATTTTTAAAAAAATTATGGTTTATTTAACAAATAAAAATTGTATATATTTACAATGTACAACATAAACATGTATACAAGGTAGAGCGGTTAAATCAAGCTCATTTACATATCCTTCACTTCACAAACTTTTTTTCCTCCTGAGACTCTTATAGCAATTTTTCAAATATAAATTATTAAATATTGTGTCCATGTTGTACAGAACTCATCCCACTTTAACCCAAACTCTGCAGCCTTGATCAAAATCCCCACCCCTCCCGGCCCTCTGGTGGCCGCCCCCCACTATGCTTCTAGGAGTTCCGACATTTTTTAGATTCCACACATAAACGCGCTTGGTATTTGTCCTTCTGTGCCCAGCTTACTTCATTTAGCATAATGTCCTTCACATTTATCAATGTTGTGAAAATGACTAGATTTAGTTTTGTAAATAAAAGTTTTACTGGAACCCTGCCATTGTCACTTGTGCACATATTGCTACAGGGGCAGAACTGAACAATCCTGACAGACTTTGTGGCCCATGAAGCCTAAAATATTTACCATTTGGGCCTTTACAGAAAATGTTTGTTGGCCCCTGGTCTAAATGGTCAAATAAGGCTGAAAATGTGTTTTTCTGGCTAAACAATCTGAATGTAACCAATGTCTTTTCAGCTGATCCTGCCCTTTCCCTATGTGGCCCTCCTTGCCTGTCCACGCTAACCAGACCTACCTGGCCATGGTGCAGGTGAGTGCCACCTTGAGAAGGACTATAAAAGCAGGCCATGGGAAGAACATCACAGAAGAGCTTGGAAGGTATGTTTTATCTTTTATAAAGTTAGGATTTCTGTATTTGAATTAACTTATTTCTATAACTACTTTATTCAAAATGTATTAAGACACATTTCCAAATTATTTCATTTTAATATTATAAATTGAGTGTTTCTAGAAAGAGGGTCATGAACCACTTAACAAAAGAGAAATGTGCTGAGAACTGCTCAGTTAGGAGACTCTGTTCTTGTGCCATCAACAGTTACAATGTCACTAGGCAAATCAACCTTTTGGGCACCTGCTGGGTGGTTTTAGCTCAATGCACTTCTATCACTAAATCTAAAGAGATAGCCTTGGATCCCACTGGATGAGGGCTCAGTCCCCAAGAACTTCCCTGTCTGCTACAGATGCCTACCCCAAGTCCCAGGATGTTTTCCCTGTGCTTCTGACCCACTGGCTATAAATGAAGGTTCCTTTCCATGACCCCCTCCTCAGATTAAATTAATTGCCAACATGTGGTCTTTCACTGACCAAAACACTGTTAAGCAGGGCAGCACTGTACTCAAATTCTTGCTGTATGAGTAGAGCTATTAACTTTCCCAGGGCTGGGGATGTGGCTCAAGCGGTGGCGCTCGCCTGGCATGCGTGCGGCCCGGGTTCGATCCTCAGCACCACATACAAACAAAGATGTTGTGTCTGCCGAAAACTAAAATAAATAAATATTTTTAAAAAAAAAAAACTTTCCCAGGCTCACAAAGTCAAGGACAGAACTGAAATTAGAACTCAAGTCTTGGGGCTAGGGAAGCAGCTCAGTTGGTAGAGTGCTTGCCTCTCATGCACAAGGCCCTGGGTTCGATCCCCAATACCGCAAAATAAAAAGAAAGAACACAAGTCTTGGGTGTCTTGGGTGAGTACTCAACAAATATTTAGGGATAGGGTGCATGGGAGGTAGGAGGTGGGAGCGTGGGAAGGGGCTGCTGAAGGGAAGGGAGATTCATTAACAGAACTTAGCTTAGCTTCACCTGAAAAGAAAGCTTCCCAAACCTTTTGATGATTATTTGGCTCAATACCTAAAGCAATTCCTAATTTTTTAATGCATTATAATCTTAAGCACATAAATGCCCCAGATCCTTCCTCTCCTGGATTGAGTCCAGAGGTGCTCTACCACTGAGCTACATCCCCAGCTCTTTTATTTTTTAAGACAGGGGTCTCGCTAAATTGCCTAGGCTGGCCATTAATTTTTGATCTTTCTGCACAGCCTCCTGAGTAGCTGGGATTACAGGGACAAGCCAGTATGCCCTGCTCCAGATTCCTGCTTTTATTTTTTGAATCAGGGATTGAACCCAGGTCGCTTAATCACTGAGCTAAATCCCCAACCCTGTAATAAATTTTTTTTTTTTTTTTTTGAGACAGGGTCTTGCTAAATTGCCGAGGCTGGCTTTCAACTTGTGATCCTCCTGCCTCAGCCTCCTGAGTTACTGGGATTATAGGCTGTACCACTGGACCTGATTCCCACTTTTAAAGGTCTTTTAAAACAACAATTATGGGCTGGGGTTGTGGCTCAGTGGTAGAGCACTCGCCTCTCACGTGAGATCCTGGGTTCGATCCTCAGCACCACATAAAAATAAATTAACAAAATAAAGATATTGTGCCCATGTATAACTAAAAAAAAATTTTAAAAAATCACTTCAAGTTACAACAGAGAAATATGGGAAGATCTGGAAATGAAACTAATAATAAAAATTATCCACAATTAATATTCTAAACATTTTACTACAGATTTTAATTTATGTGTACACTCATTTTTTTTTAAAAAATAAATTTGGGATAATATTGAACATACAGTTTTATAGTCTGCTTTCTTCAACAAGCCTTATGGCATGTATTTCCTCAGTTATATTATTCTTCAAGATGTTTGATTTCCCCCCAAAACCAGATAAGTTCTCATTTAACATATTAGAACTTTTCTCACTACATTAAATGATAAATATACAAAAGGGTTAATATTCAAATGACTTTCCAATTTCCCTTTAGTTAATACAGAAAGAATACTTTTACCTAGAATAATGTACATATTTAGATATATCTAATTTGGGGGTAAACACAGATTTTCTATTTTATTCTATTTTCAAAAAAACCCAAAAAACTTTCAGTCAATAAATTGATATCAGACTTAAGTCTAGATACAAAGGAGAGTCCCCTGCATTTGAAATGGGAGGTTAATTAACAAGAAATATCCTCGCCATTACCAGTAAACTGACCACAGAAGAACTGAAGATCATGATTACAAATATGATAGCTTTAATGACTTTACAAATATATGGAAATGTCATAATTAACCAGCCTTTATTACTTAATCTTAAGGTACCTCTGATTTTTTTCACTATTAATTTCATGATGAAAACCAGCACATGTAAATAGGTGCCCCCAGGTTCTGAGATTCCTAATAGTAAGAAGAATTTGTGTGTGTGTGTGGTGGTGGGGGGGGGCAGGGGTACCAGGGATTGGACTCAGGACCTGACCCCCTACCACTAAGTCACATCCCCAGCCCACCAGGAGACCATTTTTAAGGTCTTGTCAAATCACCTTCCTTCCAGAAACTGCACAAGTTTACCCCTCTGAAGGTACGGGGGAAAAAAAATCAGTCATTTTTTCCCTATATTTTTGGGGTTTTTTATTCCTAGTTATACATGGATACAATATCTTTATTTTATTTACCCCAGCCCTCTCCTATATTCTCAACACAGAAGACTTCTGTGGCCAAACATGGGGGCTATTCCCCACACATAAGCAAACAATTCTGCAGCAGGCACCTGCTGGGTGGTTTTAGCTCAATGCACTTCTAACACTAAATCTAAGGAGATAGCCTTGGATCCCTCAGGTTGAGAGCCCAGTCCTCAAGAACTTCCCTTTCTGCTATAGATGTCTACTCCAAGTCCCAGGTTGTTTCCCCTGTGCTTCTGACCCACTGGCTATAAATGAAGATTCCTTTCCATGACCCCCTCCTCAGATTCAATAAATCAGTTAGAGCAGCAGACAGACCTCAGGAAAATGCCTTACTTAAATTTTTACCTGTTTATTATAAAGAATACCAGTAACAGTGGAAGAGATGCACAGAGCAATGCATATAGGAAGGAGCACAAAGACTCAACACCCTCCCCAGGGCCATCAACTTGCAAGAAACTTCCAAGTATTCACTTATCTAGCTCTGAATCCAGTCCTTTTTGGGTTTTATAGAAGCTTCATTGCATAAGCATGGTTAATTACATCATCAGCCACTGGCAATCAACTTCACCTTCAGCCCCTGTCCCTTTCCTGCAAGTTGGGGATGAAAGTCCCAATCCCTTAGTCCTGTCTTGCTCTCTCTGGTGACCAGCCTCCATCCCAAAGTACTTAGGGACAACCAGACAACAATCAACTCAACAGCACACAAAAAGACACTTATCACTGTGGAGATCCCAAGGATTTGAAGAGCTGTGTGCTAGGAAATGGAAACTGGTAATGTCAACAAAGTATTAATAAGAATCACAGTATCACACTCTTCAACCTTAGCAGTGTGCAGATTCTTCTGGCAAACTCTTGTCAGCATCACATACTGTTAGAGAAACAAGTTTCAGACTGAATTATTACAAAACTTAAATCTAACTTGCAATTATAAGAAATGCCTAAAGCAGGCCTAGTGTGGTGGCACAGGCCTGTAATCCCAGTTGCTGGGGAGACAGAGGCAAGAGAATCGCCAGTTCAAAGCCAGCCTCAGCAATGGTGAGGCATTAAGCAACTCAGGGAGACCCTGTCTCTAATACAAAACAGGGCTGGGGATGTGGCTCAGTGGTCAAGTGCCCCTGAGTTCAATCCCTAGTAACCACCCCCTCCACACACACAAAAAAAGGGCAGCAATTCAGTAAGGCCCCAAGCAACTCAGTGAGACCCTGTCTCTAAATAAAATACACAAAAGGGCTGGCCATGATGCTCAGTGGTTAAGCCCCCTGGGTTCAATTCCCAGTACAAAAAAAAAAAAAAAAAGCCTAAATGAGACCCCAAGAACTGGCTGAATTGATTGTACTTCAGAATTCAGAATTCTTGGCCTCTAGCTCAGTGTCAGGCAAATAATTGAAACAAAAGTTCCCAGAATAAATAAGTGCAGACATAGAGTGGCCCCAAGACACACAAAAAGGTACGAATATATCCAACATAATGCCCTACATAACATTTCCTGGGATCTGACTGTTCCAGATAAAGAAAAACTTTAGCATGAGAAACAACCAAGTCAACAAAGAAAAACATTCAATTTTAAAATGGTCTAAAGATCTAAACAGATATTTCTCCAATGAAGATATACAAACGGCCAAAAAGCGAGAGGTGCTAAACACCAGTAACTACCAGGGAAATGCAAATCAAAACCACTGGCATTCAATTTCACTCTCATTAGGATGCTAGGCTGAAATAAAGACATCAAGTGCTGGTGAGGATGCAGAGAATTGGAATCTGAAAGCACAGTTGGCAGGATTGAAAATGGTGCCACCACTTTAGAAAACAGTCTGGCACTTCCTCAGTTAAACATTGAAAACACATACCCACACGAAAACTGTACCCGCAACACTATTCATAATAGCCAAAAAAGAGAAAAGGAAAAAAAAAAAAAGAAAAAGAAAATCTAAATGTCCATCAATCAATGAAAAACGTATAAACAAAATTTGGTATCTCCATACCATACAATAATTATTTGGCAAATGGAGATGTACTAATACATACTACATTATGAACTATGAAACATTATACTATGAGAAGCTGGTTAAAAAAGCCACATATTCTAAGATTCCACTAATAAGAAACATCCACAATAGATAGATTCAGAAAGATAGTAGTTGCCAGGGACTGGAGGTGTCTCCTGCAGCAAGTACAAGATATCTTTCTAAGGTAAAGAAAAAGTTGAATATGATTATGGATGCACTAAAAGCCACCATATGGTACACTTTAAATGGGTGAATTGTATGGGGTATAAATTACGTCTCAATAAAGTTAAGAAAAAGCGTGGAGTTACGACAACCTTGACAGAACTGAATTTTCCAGTCACAGGATGTTGGGGTTCTGCGAACTCCAGTTTCCTGAACTTTTTCCCTCTGCTGTTTTTGCACAGGGAGTAAGAAAAGGGAGTAAAAAGAAAGGGGAGTAAGTTGGGAAAGTGCCCTTATTCCTTTGGGTACAAGGAGTACTTACAACTGCTCCTCCAGTGGCCAAGGGATCAGCTTGACGATGCAATGTCCTTGAGACCAGGCAAACCAGGAGCCATCTGGGGAGAAGGCGACACTCCAGGTTTCACAGCTCGACTTCCAATCAAATTGGTGGGGGCGCCCGGGCTTGAGTTCTGCCAGCAGCAGCGGTTCCTCTGTGGCAGGAGACAGCATGCTTCAAAAACACTCTCACACCCTGGAGGGCCTCAAGGAAGCTGCATTCTTCAAGAATGTGGGGAACACTATGGATTCCCAGAGGGAGTTGTCATTTAAATGACCTAGGGTAATAAGTGACCACAGGCCACATTCCATCAGGGTTACTCAGTCCCATCCCTCCCAGTTGCCAGTTAACCATGACTCAAGAGTCACCTTTAGGAGGGTGAACTCACTGAATGGAGGCCTCATTTTCCTTTGAATGCCTGAGCAGGAAGAAGGCAGGAGGCATCCAGGCTAGGGCTAAGTTGGATGATGCAAAAATAGTCAGATATGTTACCCATGCTAGATGGTTCCACCACAGCAAGGCCACCAATGTGTTTCAGGTCTCCTCAAATAACCTAATCTTGGGAAAAGGTATGGGGTATGGCAAGGCTCATTCCCAGCACTCCCCCATCAGGAAAGCTAAGCTCCGACAGCCCTTGCCCTGGCTTTTCTTGCTCAGATCTATTGGTTAGGCCTTCCCTATCTCCTTTAACCCAGATCTTTCACAAGTCTCCCAATCTTCCCACCCCTAGAGAGCCTGCCAGAGCTGAAAACATTCATCACACCACTTTCCCCTGCAAATACATTCCCAGACTCCCACCAGCCTACATAATACAACAGCTGAGCCCAGGCTTCTTCTACCACACCTAGGACTGCCTCCTTTCCATTACACCTCTCGCACTGCAGGCCACACAAGTCTGCTAGACATTCCCTTTCAAGTTCACACCTAGACTTACAACTGAAACATCCTCCATTATCATAATACCCTGTTTAATTCTCTTCTGCAACCAGCATTTAATCACTCTCTTCCAATACCACCAAGATGATTTCATCTTTATTTCTCCCAGGGCCTCTTGTGACGGTAGGTACTGCACAGGTACTTCTTTATGGACTGAACTGCAATTCCTAGTTCAATCCTGTAATTCTGAAAGATGATTCTGCATGGCTGATAAGTTCTGTAAGCTAAAGGCCTTCAGAATGGATTTTATGGCCACTAGCATCATGATACACGCTAAGAGAAAAAGTGAGTTCCATTTTGGATGAGGTCACTTCCATATGTACATGTTCCACTTCAAGAGTTCCAGACTTTGAACTTTTATGGCTACAGATAAGATACTAACTTAAACCACCTATTTTTAAAAAAATATTTTCTTAGTTGTAGATGGACATAATACCTTTATTTATTTTTTTATGTGGTGCTGAGGATCGAACCCAGTATCCCACACATGCTAGACAAGCGCTATACCACTAAGCCACAACCCCAGCCCCAAACAACCTATATTTTAAGCTCATCTTTTTAAGTCTTCTTACATTACCTCTCTGAAATCAGGATGTATTTTATAATCGACAACTTTTCTTAAATAGGCAGTATTTTTGTTTTTCGTTTGTAGTTCTGGGGATTGAATCCAGGGCTTTGCAAATGATAGGTAACACTCTACCACTAGCTATGTCTCCACCCTCCCCCTTTTTTGTGTGTGTGGTGCTGGGGATTGAATCCAGGACCTTAAGCACCAAGGCAAGCACTCTACCAACTGAGCTATATTCCCAGCCCTTAATTTTATTTTTGAGACAGGGTCTCACTAAGTTTCCCAGGCTGACCTAGAGCTTGTGATCCTCCTGCTAAATTAGCCTCTGGAGCAGCTGGGATTACAAGTCTGTACCACTCACACCCAGGGCAATAAGCAATATCCTTTTTCTCAGTGGCACATAATGGAAATACAATCCAAGGTATCTTGAAATCAATGCAACACATGGTAAAGAAAAAAACACACATACACACACATTTTTTCCAGTATATGTACCACAGGAAAAAAAAGGGGGGGCTTTTGTTTTATAAAATCAATGTGGCGAAAAATTCTTTCTATAAATGTGATTTTAATAAATGATATCAGGCCTCTGTAAAGAGAACATCCATTCCTGGACATCTTATTGAAATCTAGGCTTTCATATATTTGATCTGTCTAAATTGGTGTCTGTGCAGACCAAAGTTTTGTTTTGTTTTTGGTAATGGGGATTGAACCCCAGAGGGTGGGGGAATGATTAACCACTGAGTCACATCCCCAGCCTTTTAAAAAATTTTATTAGACAGGGTCTCCATGAGTTGCTAAGTGCCTCACTAAATTGCTGAGACTGACTTTGAACTTATTATCTCCTGCCTCAGCCTCCCAAGCCACTGGGATTACAGAGCATGTGCCACTGGCCCGGCCTGAGGTCATTCTTCCTAGAAATTTGTGTGTGTGATCCCTTCCTTTGCACAATCCCATCTGTATGAATTCACTTTTGTGGATGTGATGTTCATATGGTAAGAAGTCTCCTTGTATTCTAAATCCAACACAGGTCTCTTGATGTTATTCAGGAATATGCCACTATTTTCTTCAATGATACTATTTTTAGATATTTTCTTATGGTGACATAAACCCTAATCTACTAATGTTTTTTTCATGTAGCCCAAGAATTCCACTGGGGGTAATTTTGTCCCCTGAGGGCTTGTCACAGTGTCTGGCAACATTTTTAGTTGTCACCACTAAGGATGTCACATCTGTTATGTAGAGGCCAGGGATGCAGCTCAATATTCTACAGTGCATGGGACAGACACCACCACAAAGTATTATCTGGCCCAAAATGTCAATAGTGCTGAGGTTCAGAAATACAGATGTAGTCAAATTAAATGATACTGACTAGGGGCTGGGATTGCGGCTCAGCGGGGCCCTGGCATGCACAGGGCCTTGGGTTTGATCCTCAGCACCACATAAAAAAATGAATGGAATAAAGGTATTGTGTTCAACTACAACTAATAAATAAATGACACTGACTGATCTGGAAGAACATTTCAGTTGAGCTGGAAGAAAATTCCTTTAATCCATCTGATCATGTTCATATTCGGTTCACCCCCTCTCCTAAATGCTCATTATCCATCCCCATGACCACGTTCCACACACACTATTAAATAGGTTACACTGATTTCTTCTACCTCCCTAGTCAAACCCATTAGCAAGTTCAGTCAAGTCTGTTTCCAGATTTGTCTACTTCAACCCATCTCTGTGGCTACTGTTCTAATCCACCTGGCAACATCTCACCTGCCCACCAGGCCGCCTTCCATCTGCTCTCCTTTCACTCTAGCCCCACCATCCCTCCTCACTTCCCACTTCCTAGAATAAAATTCAAACTCCTGCCTGCCCTCAAAGTCCTGCAATACCTGGCCCCTGCCTCTCCTCTCCCTGCTACATCCAGGACCCTGGCCATCTACGGCCTGACTGTGCTCAGCTACCTAAGGGCCTTTGTACCAGCTACTCACTTGAGGATGCCTCTCTGTATCTGGTACCTTACCCCAATGACAACTCCTTCTGGAGTTCTCTGACCTTAGTCAACTTCACCACTAGATTGGCATGTCTCGCCCACTACCATCCTGTCCACTACACTGTAGGACCCTTGTTTATTCCCAATGCCAGCAGAGTTCCTGGCAAACAGAAGGCAGTCTATAAATATTTGGTGAATAAATATACAAAACGAAGTCCCTTAAACTACTATGATGCTTTAAGACAAACATTTCACATGAAATCCTTTTTCAACATCAGCCTCCTGAAAATGTACACACTATTTCTGTGATTTAGGAATTCAATCTCTCTTGCTATTTTGGTTCAGGAATTCAGGCGCTACAAGAAGAACGAACCCAGTGACTCCTGTTAAGGAGTCTGAACCCAAACTAAACTTGGCTACTGGAAAAGAAAACCATAATTAGTGCAGAACTTGAAAAGAAAACAAAACAGAGCCGAGAGGACCAGCTTCATCTGGGATTGTACCTGCAGTGGCCCTTCTTGGTTTGAAACAGAGTTTTAACTGAAAAATATTGGATGTGTTTATAGTATACCACCCGGTGTTTTCACATACGGTATGCATTACATCACATACTTTCTTTTGTAATAAAGCACTTACAAATCTCTCAGCAATTTTCAAGCATTCAATATAGAGTTCTTTATTAACTATAGTTACCATAATGTACCACAGATCATTCTGAACTTATTCCTCCTAAATTTTGTAACCTTTAACCAACATTTCCCTAATATCCGCCGACACATACACACACCTTTAAGGGTCTTCCAATTAAACAGTGGATATGTTTGGACAATCAGGTCAAATGGAAAGACATTTACTATGGATTCTCTTCCTTGCACAAGACTTAGCCTTAACAGATATCAGGAAGCTCAGAGAATTTTCCTGCCTCAGGGCCTTTTTGCATTAGCCATATCATGGGCCCTGGAAGATTTGCCTGGCTGTTCCATTATATCATAGGGAACTCCCTGTTTCTAAAGTAATCTTGTCATTTTCCTTTACCCATTTAATTTTCTGGTTAATTATCACTATACTTTGACTGCTATCATGTATTTATTGTCTATCTTTTCCCCATCCCACCTCAACTTGCCTTCCTCTTCACTGCTGTTGGGCTGCTCTGCTCAACACAGTAAGCACATGTAGTTACTGACCACTTAAAATGGGTAGCAAGTCTGGAGACAGGCTGTTAAGTATAAAATACACACCATATTTTGAAGACACAGTACAAAAAGACACTGAAATAATCCAATCATTTTTATTTGATTATATAAATGAATCAAATTGCATCATTGTAATTTAGATGTAGTGGTCTGGATATAATTTTTAGATTAATTTCTTAAAAATTGTTTTCTTAAAAAAATGTGGCTATTACCAGAACTTTTAAAATTACCTATATGTATGTGGCTCTTATTCTATTTTCCTTTTTTAGCAACACTGGGAATTCAACCTAGGGACTCACACATGCTAGGCAAGTGCTCTACCACTGAGAAACATCATCAGTCCTTTTTATTTTTTGAGACAGATTCTCATTAAGTTGTCCAGGCTGGCCTCAAACTTGCACTCCTCCTGCTACAGCCTCCTGAGTACCTGGGATTACAGAGTACATCACACTCTGCTCTATACTTTATTTCTATTGGCCAGCAACAGCCTAGAGAATGCCTTGCACATAGTAGACACTCAATAAATGTTTGAATAAATAAATGAATTAAAACCATTGCTCTGAAGATTTCCACTATTGTCCATTGTAATCCCTTTACAATACACTTTATTCAGTTTGAAAGCAACACAAAACTCTGACCTTTAAAAAAACAAAAAACAAAAAAACCCCAAAAAACAGTAGCTTGGCAGCTCTCAACAACTTTGCCCACACTGGCAAACACAGCTGTCAATCAGTAGGAAAAACCTCAGAACTGGAAACGGATTCCTGTTAAAAAAAGGCAGGTTAGCTTCACATTGCCTTTCAGATTTAACTATAAGGAATCAATGGAAAAAAACTGCTATAAAAAAGATACTCTAGACCCTGGAAAACAGTAATGGGCCATTTAAAAGGAGTTCTATGGGTAACACAATCACTGAAAAGAAAGCCCTTATCTAGATGGGAACTGGAAAAAGCTGCCTCTACACCTTTTTGACTGCCTGGCTCCAGCAAACAAAGAAATGTCACTTCCTAAATTAAAAAGTAACACCACCCCAGGGAAATCCTGGTTGGCAACCAACCCACCCACAATAACCAGCCACCAGCAACCAAAATGAAGACTGAACTTCACTGCAAGATGCTCTCTGGAACAAATTCTGAGCCTTTGGCCTGGACCCCTTCTGAGAAGTTCCCTTAAGGAAACCGCTTTTAAATCTTCAGTTAAGGACTCTCAGAATAAATCTCGAGTCCATCCTAAATTTCTTTATACACAGGGAAGGGGGCAAGGAGGTTAGACCAGGTAAACCTAAGGGATGCGCCTGGAGGTTTGGGCCTTTGTACAACCACCTCACCTTTTCCACTGAGACGGGGGTGTTCATCTGAACTGGATGAAAGTGCATCCAATATTCTGGCTTCCACTTTTTTTTTTTCCTGATAGTAAGGGGTGTTAACAAGGACAGGGCGAGCACTAGACCTCATGGCTTTTCTAAACTTACATGATCCTAAGTGTCACTAGGGATCAGCATCCCCAGCCCCAGCCCCACCCCACCGAATTAACTCTCGGGAGGAAGCGGCTCGGCATGTAGTTCGAACAGGGCCCCAATTCGTGGGAACAGGCAGGCCAGGAAGCACCCAACCACCCACCCAGGCAGGCACTATTATTAAACGTCGTTCAGGGACAAAACCGAGACGTGGGGGGGGGGGGGTTAAGCGGCTTGTCCACGAGCGCGGCCGCCCAGCGCGGAGGGCAGAGGGCCGACTCCCACCCAGGCTGCGAGCGCGTCAAGGGCCTCTGGGCTACCGCCCCCTGGGGGTCCGTCTAGGGCTCGGCGCTCCACACGGTCCCGGGGCTGGGGCTCCCAGGCCCAGCAGCCCGTCCGCCCAGGACCAGGGGACCGCAGGAGTCGGGTGGCGGCCACTGACAGCGAAAGTGAAACAAAGCTGGGCGCC